TGAGATGTGAGAAGTAGCACATAGAACTAGTTGGAAGATAACCGCCGACGAATCTGTGAAATTAATATTGCTATAGGAAATGAAACTATTTTTCCGGATTTAAACCGCGTATATTTGTTTTTTCAAACAAACCGACGTTTCGGGCCCTTTGCAGGTCCCATGGTCACGGTTGACTCAACCGTGACCTGTAAAGGGCCTGAAACGTCGGTTTGTTTGAATAAACAAATATACGCGATTTAAATCCGGAAAAATAGTTTCATTTCCTATGTGTAACAATCGCGAAAACCTAAGAACTTAATGTTGCTACTTTGGAAAAATAAATTTTTGGAACAACGGATAATAGCACAATGGCAAATGAAAACAGATATCAGAACTGAACAGATATCTTAAACAAGATAAATAAAAGCAACTTTGTAAGAAATTAAGAACAACATTTGGTCCAAATATGTGTAAGAACTGTAAAAAAATTTTAACAAAAACGTTATCTCTTATGAGCTCATTAATTTCAACTTCCATAGTAGGTTATAAAAGTGTCTCGACCAGGCAGTGTTCACGTCCACTTTAAATGCCAATACTCTCGAATAATTGACCCATACCGCGTACACGAGACGTAATTGCCTACAATAAAGTGCTGATAAAAACTAAACCACTAACAGCTGATCGTTTTCACAGGTGCAGAATAACCGGTTGTGTAACTCTGCTTAGCAGAGCCTGCCGTTTGACAGATGTCAAAACGTTACAAGTCAAGTTAGAAAGTAGGCTCAAATCGATTGTTTTGGCATATCGATTAATTGAAAAGGGCTCAAGATTTGAAGCTGTTACATGTACATTTGTTCCAGTTTGGATTAAAACGAGTGATCAATACGTTGCATAAATAATAAGATTTTTCGGAGCGTGTAAATACAACACTGAGTCGAATTGATAAACTATTATTATGCTAATGATCCGTTACACCCATACCCTGTCTGTTACAGAAACAATAGGGATCGGTTTAATTGACAAGTCCTTGAAAATGGCAAGACGAAGGAAAACCTTCGTCCATTGTTTTATAAAGGCATGTATTTGTTCGTGTACTGACCTAGTTATTAGCATATTGCGCTTGAATTTGTCGCTAAAGTGAGATTTCTCGATAATGAGTCATTTGTAGATAATAACATAGACAGTTTGTCATGGCAAACTCACCTGATCTGTACGCAGTTTCCTGCTGAGCTCTGCTGCTCCGCACTCCATTCTTTGTGTCTGTAACAAATAAAGATTCCTTTAAAAAATATTTACGTTTTAACTTCTGCCATAAATCGGACGGAAACACATCAGTGTGTGTCAACCTATTAGAAAAAGCTGTTAAATAGAAATACCTACATAATATTATTTCCTTTAAAAATAACGAAGTAAACTTACACATTATTAACATTTCTGAAATGTCATTCCTAAAAGCGAACAAACTTTTTACCGGAAAGTAATTATCATTTCATAATTAAGGAATAAAACAGTAAATGAAGAAATGTACAACGTACTTAAAATTAAAAAAAAAAAACAAGTACAATTCATATCAAGAAAAAGAAACAAGTTGGTCACATTACATTTATGAGATACAGGAAAGCAATTGCTCGTGAGTGCAATGCATCCGCTAGCTTGCTACATTATGCGATCTCTCATCCGGTCAACGATGGATTCAAAATTAGACCTAATACACAAGTACTTAGAACTAATGCAAAAGTAAACAAGTATTTTAAACACATTAGCAAATGCAATGATAAAACTAAGCAAAGTAATATAGACTTTAAAGAACAAGATTTTAAAGCTGATTGAAGTGGAATATATAGAATGGTCAGTATAGAAAGCTTAGCATATGAAGAATGACTTGTCAGGATGTAAGCAATGATGGCATGTGAAGATTTGTAAGCTATGTTTAATATTTACGAGCGTTTATAACTAAACAAGTTATTCCTGTAAATAAATACTATAAACATACTTGATGTAACCACCGAAAGCTTCAATAATAATAATGATTTAAAATAGTATATTTGAATAGATAGAATCTAAACAAGATATAAGGAAGCTCAACTCTAATAAACAAACGACTAACGAGAGAGAAAATTTAAACGACAAACCAATTTCAATTGAACCCATTCATGTCTTGCAAATGGTTACATAAATGGACAAAGGACACGATTTACATAGAAATTTATGACAATAGTACACTAAATCAATGTTCTATAAGCAGACCTAAGGTTATAGATAAGCAAAGGGCAAAGGACATAGTGAACGTGTTTCCTTAATCGAAATTCCATGGGCTTCAAGGTCCGAGGTGAATTCTTCGAGAAGATCCGGCAGACTTAGTTGTAATTGGGATTGTTGTTAAAATATGTGTACATATTTAAGTTTTAAAATTGTATTATTAATTTAATCTCTTTTAAAAGGCGGTGGACATTCGAAATCATTTAGAAATCGAGTTAGAGAGAAGAAGTGTTGCTCAAAGAGTGGACGTTGAAGACTCTTGAACTAACGAAATAATTTTAGAAGCATTTCGTCACCTCCTCATTAACATAATGATTCGAGACAGTACCTCACAAGTAGGTCTCTTGATGACTCATTGTCTCGTTGCTGTCATCATCGCTGATCCCAGAGACCTCTTTGTGTTTGCAAAATGGTTACACGGAGATGCTTCGTGCATCATAATTAGATGGCGATACCAACTGACGCATAAGAATGCATTGGTAGTTTTATAGTTTCAGGCAAGACAAAAATGAAGAACATAAAAACCGAGAAGCTATTTGTTTTAACTACACGTATAAAAAAGATTTGGCGCCCTTAATATAGTGTTTCAATTTCATGGGTTCAATACAAACAAGTCATTTTAGTATTTATTTTTCATTGAGCAACGTGATGTTTTGAGTACCATGGTAAATATACAGGTAAGGTTAATAAAAGCTTAAATACTATAAAGTAAAATAGGATTTTTAATTTATATGAATAAAATTGGGTCCCCGCGGCAAGGTGCCCAAGATTCTGGCACCGTTCCACCTTTGTATGGCTATGCTAATGCGGTGGGTAAGACAGCTACCAGCCCTTGGGTTTCCCAGACAGTCTATTAATTTTTTCGATAAAATTTTATACAGATGAAGGGCACTGCGAACCTGCGACCCGGACCAAGAGTTTCGACTCCAAAGGCTGTAAATAGGTAGTCGGAGTCGAGATCCTAGTACTTATTACTTTTTATTCTTTCCGCCAGCTCTCTTGGTGGTGTGCTGGAGATGGGATGGGGCAAGTGTGTCTGCATACACATGGTCGCATGGTTAAATATTATTATTGATACAAACTTTCGTAAGTTTCTTCCAGCCGTTTTAAACCCAATACGAAAATTCTCGAGAAACTTCGAAGATTAAGATCTGCTGACTCGATTTATAGAGCAGTAGCTATGATGTGGCAACAGACACTGTTTCGAGTCAGTCAGATCGAATGAATTTTTTTTGTGTTTTTGCAATATTTGTATCAATAATAAATCTTTTTTTGATTCCTGCTTTAATTTTGAGCTATAAAGAACTCCTGTTATTTCTATTACTACTCCAAATTTGCCTGTGAAGCAATCAAAGAACTCACACACTATATTATAGGATTTAACATTTGAAGGGCAAACCAAAATCGCAAACAATAGACGTTTAAAGACACACTATTCCTTTGCTGATTGGTACCAATGACCATTCATATTCATTTAAAATGTCTGGTAAACGAACTTGAAAAAAATGTAGTAGACTTTAAAAAGTGAGCTTAAGAAATCGCTGTTTGTTTCCTCTAAAGTCTGTTGAAGAAGGAAGGACATCTGTGGCAAAAAGCGAGAAAACAAAGTAATAAGACAATATGTTAGTGAAGAAGGTATTATTACCGTATGACACAACACAACACAACGTCACAAACAAAGCGACTGATATATTATATGTCACGAGTTTACATTGAGAGATGTAACTGGTGTCCGCGTCAAATTTTTGTTTTCAAACTATTGCTTTTTCTTGTTGCCGCTAAGACCGATGTATGTACTATTTACAATGAAAAATATTGTCAAATATTCATTAGTGTAAACCATGGCCAAGTAAGGGGATTGCTAACCGCGACACAAGACAGCATCGTCGGGTATTTAATACCTATTAGTTCACTAGATGTCGGGACGAGTATCAAACAGCTATTTTTGTAACTAATTTATTTGCTTTAAATTTGACATGTTGCAATTTATCAAAGCTACTCTAATGCGAAAATATAAATACAAAAGTTGAAGTTGAAGTTCTAGTTATAACAAATAAATCAACTAGATGGCGCTTATTGCACAGGTTTTTTCTTATGGACAGTGCCGGCTATTCTTTTATTTTGTTTAGGATTAGCGCTATCTACCCATATTAAGAAGCTTTAATTTATAAATTTTATAAATTAGTTTGTAACACACAATACCATCTATTAATATGCATATTTGTCAAAGCTTAGAAAATAATTGTAACTCGCGATTTCATTAATATTACAATAATACGGCTGTTCATATAATATAAACTACATCCGGGTTATTATTCAGCGCCATGTTGATATAAGACGGAATTTTGACCTTTTTCAGAGTTACGACTGGTGTAAACTCATAGTAGAGGTCCTGTCGCGTCCAGCCCCCGTGTAAGGAAGAGTACTAGGCACAAAGACTTCTCACTAGATTGACAGGAATTCGAAATTAAACTTCTTTTGTACAAAAGACGACGAGGGTAGTCCTGACTAAACCTCGAACGAATTAAGACGAGTCCTCATGAGCTACTATTTATACAGGAAGACCGTACAAATACTGATCTATTTAAAATGCTTCTTAATATTTTGCGTATCGTTCATTTTTAATTCTGCTAAATTTATCATGTAATTTTTAATAATAAAGTCATATAACTGTAGAAGTGAAAATGCAATTATCTTTCATACCTTACTAAATTATAATAACCGAATTCTAATGTTTCAATCAAATCTATTTGAAAAACATGAAATGATTTTAATTTTTACAATTTATATTGTGATCCACTAATATAGTTTTCAGTTATTTGTATTATATAATAGTGTATCCCAGAAGCAATTGTATATTCTCTGAATGCCAGTTGGCAACCAGTGCGTGAAGAAATATAACTAATTTTACGCATTTCGCTCTAAGAGGTTATAGGAAATTGATATTAGCATCATATTAGGAAGTACCAACGTTATTACAGTAATATGATCTATTTTTTTTGAGACAAGTGAACTAACAAGATGACAAATGCTAGAAGATACTAATGAAACGACTTCTTCGTCCCTTTACTAAATATAATGAGAAAAAAAATTAAAACTGAATTGAGAAAAAAATACCATGTTTCAGATGATTGCGAATGTAAGTAAGAAATTAACAATAACACATGTAAATAAAGGCGTAAAAATAATAGAATTTAAACAAAAAAAAGCTAATCGGAAACGGACCTATAAAAGAAATTACTAAGATAGATGACATTATTCATTATCATCTTTATTATGACATATTAAAGATGATTCGAAATATTCTGAAAACATAGCCCAATTCAACATCAATGTCGGAAATAGACACAATCCACAAAATACGTTAATTCTAAGGTGTATCGAGTTAAATCGAATTGAAAAAGCGTAGCGTGAAGGCACGAGGTCGTTACATTATACTGTGGTTCTGCCTCCAATTGGAAAGTATGCGATTGAATTTTAACTGCTGCTCAACACGCCATTTGCCAAAAGTTTGTAAATCACTAAAATTGTTTCTAAAAACTTTTCATAACTTGATATCTGTCAGTGTTTTTATCAAGGTTCGAAATATTCAAGACTTTATACTATAGACATGTTATACTTAGATATCCCACCTTTGGAGTGTCGGTTTGTGAAAGACTGCTGGCAGCAGATGAATGCGACAAGCTGAGAACCGGGCGAACTGGCGCACACTGGGAGAGGTCAGTAGTGGACTGCGATAGGCTGATGTTAATGATTCTACCGGTCAATGAAAACTGATCTGGTCCGATTAGCTGATGAACTAATCTCCTGTAGACGACCAAAACCTACTGCGTGCTGTATAATTTTGTTGAATATTGCTTCGTTAACTAATAACAAAACTCCTGAAATAAATAACTCTTGAACTTACTAGAGCATCCCTTGACACCGACACATTATGATAAGTATTTGATTTGCTGAACGTTGAGAATTAAGTCTTTGATTGCTCCCTGCACGGACGTCCA